CCCACACCCACCCACAAAAAAAGAACAACAAACCTAAAGACAAAAACAAAACAAAACAAATTAAAAAAAAAAACCCTCAAGAAAATAGCAACTTTGGGACAAATTATATTTTTGGATAAAACATTTTATAAACAAATTAATATTAATGTCTTTGTCCTCCTCAGGCCCCATCAGTGCAGCCATAGACTTATTCGACATTCGTCACCTGAGGGACATCCAAGAAACACAGCTCATGACGTCACCCGGAAGTCTTCGCTCAGCCTAATGGTGGGATGAAACCTTTGGTGGAGGCGGAAGTGACCCTTCTGTTGTAAGTTCTGGGGAGGGGAATTTTGTTTGTTGGTTATGATTGCTACCATGCTTTTTAACGAGCTTAGAACACGACTTCAGTTTTGCTCTCAGTACATCTGAATATGTATGGCCGCTGATATTTTATTTGTGTGTCTGCCTTGAGAAAGGTACCGGTAATAGGAAAGGGGACACACGCGTGTTCTTGTAGCGAATACAATGCTGGCTAAGCTGATGAAACATTGTCTTTCAAATATTTTGAGTAATTTAACTCATTCGCTACGCCGAGCCGTGGGGGGCGGCGCGACTAAAGTGCCGTCAGTACGCTAAGCCGCCCCCAGCGGTTCGAGAACTGACGTTCAATTTTAGCTTGGTTTCTATTCCAATCCACATATCCATGTTAAAATAAAGGTCATAATATAAAGTTGACTTCCGGGTCAAGGGTTTCCACCGAAAATCGGAAGTTTTGATTCAGTTTTGAAACACGATTTCATCATCATCATCATCATCATCATCATCATCATCATGGCTATTATTATTGTTATTATTTTTTTTTTTTTAGATTATCATAATCATTATTCTTATCATCATCATTACTATAATATAGAAATATGCAATGTTTAACTCATGATAAGAGATATAATATGCACAACTTGTACTTATTTATTATGGAAATTTTATTTATCAAATGAGTGTCTTGTGTGATGTGATGTGGGCCAATGGCCTTGTCTTGTAATATCTTGTCTTACCTTATCGTAACATACCTTATTTTGTATTATCTTATCGTATTTTTTCCTTACCTTACTTTGTATCATCTTATCTTATCTTTTCCTATCTTATCCTGAATAAACTTACTTTCTTACTATAATATTATAATTTCATTTGGAAGTGTCATGTCATCCTGTCATTATGAAAAGAGCCAGAAACGTTGACAGAGAAATGTAAACTGCCTACTTTTTGTCCTGTTGGCATTTTCGTTCAAGGATATTATGTCCTTAAGGAACCTCACAGACAAGGACCCTGCTGAAACGTTTAGGCATATGGTGCACATAAAATAGGGAGGGAGAGGTGGGGG